CTGGAGATCTGCTCCCATAAAGATTATAGCCTAGGAAACTCTATGGGACAATTCTACTCTATCACATGGGGTCTGTATGAGTCGGAATCAACTCACAGGCTCCCAACAACAGCAACAATAGGCCATCAGCAGGGAGCAGGAAGGCCCTCTTGTTGTTTGTGTTCCGAGGGATTCACAAATGCATCCAGCAGACATTTGCACACCAGGGGAAGCTAGTGGTATGAGGGACAAGCCTGATGCCTGCCAGAATGGGGCACATTTTGGGGATGAGTAAGTAGAGAATGAGGATGCAGGTGTGTGCAGGGAGAGGAGACAGGAGAGACTGCTACAAAAATAGTTTCATTCTTTGACCCTCCCCAAAGAGTTCTTCATTTTAAAATTGTATTCCTGAACTTTGAATCATTTGAAAACCATGGTTTTTGTTGACCCAAATACCATCTCTACTATTACTTAATATTCTTCTTCAAATGGATGTACTTTCAAAAACCCTGTATTCTCTTTAGCCTCTTTCTAAGCAGTAATATTCAAATCACGTTTGTGTTAGTTTTCTTGTTTCTAATGCATATTAAAATAAATGCATGATTCTTAAAATAAAAATAGTGACCCATAGGGGAAACTGTGCAGGGAGGAGAAGGGGCTTACGGGAACTCTCTGTACTTTCCTTACAGTTTTTCTATAAACCTAAAACTGCTCTAAAAAATAAAATGTATTAAAAAAGAATGTCAATCCCTGTCCCCCTAAAGTCGTCTTGAGCCTCTCTTTTATTATGTGCCCCATAAAACTGGAGCCCTGGTGGCACAGTGGTTAAAAGCTCAGCTGCTAACAAAAAGGTTGGTAGTTCAAATCCACCAGCCCCTCCTTGGAAACCCTACGGGGCAGTTCTTCTCTGTCCTATGAAGTCTCTATTAGTTGGAATCGTCTCAACAACAACGAGCTTGTTTTTAACTTTGAAAACTGCTTTAACATGAGCTTCTTAAAAAGCAGGGATTCACAGAGAAGAAGATAGACTCATTCCTTCCATGAACTACTGCCTCCTCTATCATGAGACCAGAAGAACTAGATGGTGCCCAGCTACCGCTACCGAACATTTTGCTCACAGCCACGATAGATGGACCCTGATCAAAAGGGAGAGAAATGTGAAATGGAATTTCAGATTCTTAAAGATTCCAGACTTACTGGCTCCACCAAGACTAGAGGAACCCATAAAAATTTTGCTCTGAGATATTCTTCAAACCTTTAACCAAAACTGGAAATGCTCACTCGTCTATGCCAAGGAATTTGGAAGACAGCTACCTGGCCAACCAACTGGAAGAGATCCATATTTATGCCTGTTCCCAAGAAAGATGATCCAAATGAATGCGGAAATTATCAAACCATACCATTAATGTCATATGCAAGTAAAATTTTACTGAAGATTGTTTAAAAGCTGCTGCAGCAGTGTATCGACAGGAAACGGCCAGAAATTCAAGCTGGATTCAGAAGAGGATGTGGAATCAGGGATGTCATTGCTGATGGCAGATGGATCCTGGCTGAAAGCAGAGAATACCAGAAAGATGTTTACCTGTGTTTCATTGACTAAGCAAAGGCATGAGACTGTGAGGATCATGGTAAATTATGGATAACATCACGAAGAATGGGAATTCCAGAACACTTAACTGTGCTCATGAGGAACGTGTACATAGACCAAGAGGTAGTCATTCGAACAGAACAAGGGGATATTGCGTGGTTTAAAATCAGGAAAGGTGTGCGTCAGGGTTGTATCTTGTCACCATACCTACTCAGTCTGTATACTGAGCAAATAGTCTGAGAAGCTGAACTATATGAAGCAGAACGGGGCATCAGGATTGGAGGGAGACTCATTAACAACCTGTGATATGCAGATGACACAACCTTGCTTGCTGGAAGTGAGGAGGAACTGAAGCACTTTCTGATGAAGATCAAAGACCACAGCCTTCAGTATGGATTACACCTCAACATAAAGAAAACAAAAATCCTCACAACTGGACCAATAAGCAACATTATGATAAACAAAGACTGAATTTGTCAAGGATTTCGTTCTACTTGACAGCAGTCAATAAATCAAATGACACATTGCATTGGGCAAATCTGCTGCAAAATGCCTTTTTAATGTGTTAAAAAGCAAAGATGTCACCTTGAAGGCTAAGGCGCACCTGACCCAAGCCATGGTGTTTTCAATTGCCTCATATGCATATGAAAGCTGACCGATGAATAAGGAAGACCGAGGAAGAGTTGAGGCCTTTCAATTGTGGTGTTGGCAAAGAATATTGAATATACCATGGACTGCCAAAAAAATGAACAAATCTGTCTTGGAAGAAGTACAAGCAGACTGCTCCTTAGAAGCAAGGATGGCGAGACTACGTCTCACATACTTTGGACCTGTTATCAGGAGGGATCAGTCCATGGGGAAGGACGTCACGCTTGGTAAAGTGGAGGACCAGCAAAAAATAGGAAGACCCTCAACGAGACAGGTTGACACAGTGACTGCAACAATGGGCTAAAGGGTGACAATGATTGTGAGGATGGCACAGGACCGGACAGTGTTGCGTTCTGTTGTACATAGGGTTGCTATGAGTCAGAGCCAACTCGATGGCACCTAACAACAACAACGGCAACATCCCCTGAAGTCATCTTTAGACTAAACAATAGTTTAGCTCAATTAGTAAAGAACGTATGCCTTGAGAATTGTGCTCTCTTAAAAGATTATATGTGTGAGACCAAATTGACGACTGTAAATCTATAGTATATAGGAGAAGACAGGAGGGGCAGTGAATCTAAGTTAAAGGTGGTGAAACAGTTTAAATAGAAACAGTGAGATGGTTGACCCAAAGTGAAGAATGTAACCAATGTCACTGAACTGTATGTGCAGAAATTGTTGAATGGGTGCGTGTTTTGCTCGGTACACTTTCATCAAAAATAAAATAAATATTAAAAAAAAAAAAAAAAAACAGGGATTCAAAAGTCACTAAGGTATTTAGTGTGGGGGAAGCAAGATGAGAGAGCCCAGGACTTTGTAAGTTTGGGGTTTGGGTGAAAACTGTGAGACTTTGAACAAGCTCCCAGGAAAATGCTTTAATTACTCTTATACGTCCTCAACTCTCAGGGTCAGCCAGAGATACCATCTTTAGCCTGCCACCTGGAAGCCAGCCTAATGAGAATTTCCTGGCTGGAGATTTCCCAATCGTAGTGAAAACCCTGTAACAGGACCCCTGAGGTTAGCCTCAAATGTTAGGGCAATGCTAGGTGTATCTAAGTGGTATCAGGTGAGTGCCAGGAAAGTAGTGGGTGATGAAGGGAAGGGGGAGGTGACAGGACATTGGGTGAGAACAGGCAAGTCTCTAATAGCTTGTTTTTCTAAAGAAGAAGAAAAAAAAAGCTTGAAAATGGGTCTGTTTACAGTAAATTAGCATAGTAATGGAGTCCCTATGTGGTGCAAATGGTTAATACACTTGGCTGCTAACCGAAACGTTAGAAGTTCGAGTCCACCCAGAGGTACTTCAGAAGAAAGGCCTGTTGATTTGCTTCTGAAAAATCAGCCATTGAAAAGCCCCACAGATAATGGTTTGACTGAGACTGGAGATACCCCAGAAAGCATGGCCCCTGGATTCTCTATCAGCCCAGAAGAACGAAAACAATTTATGAGGCCAACTCTTCAGACAGGGATTGGAGTGGACTGTGGGACATAAAGTGATACTTGTGAGGAGTGTGCTTCTTAGCTCACGTAGATAGAAGAGTCTAAACAGGCAGCTTCTGTCTGGAGGTGAGATGGGAAGGCAGAGAGGGTTAGGAGCTGGTTGAATGGACATGCTGTATCGGGTGGAAAGGAAGAGTGTGCTGTTGCAGAATGGGGTGAGCAGTTAGGGTCGCATAACAATGTATGTATAAAATTTTGTATGGGAGACTAACTTGAAATGTAAACTTCATTTAAACTACAACAGTTTAAAAAAGAAAAGAAAAGAAAAGCCCTACGGAGCTCCGTTCTTCTCAATACACATGGGGTCGCCATGAGTCGGAGTCAAGGGCAACTGGTTTAGTGCAGCAATTTTCCTTTGCTCTATAGCCCATATAACCACCACCCGTCTGTCATTCTGTCATACTGCAGTGGCTAGTGTGTTGCTGTGATGCTGGAAGCTATGCCACTGGTATTTCAAATGCCAGCAGGGTCACCCACGGTGGACAGGTTTCAGCACAGCTTCCAGACTAAGACAGCCTAGGAAGGAAGGCCTGATCTACTTCCAAAAATTAGCCAATGAAAACGTTATGGATCACACAGATTGTCCAGTATACTGCTGGAAGAAAAGCCCGCTAGTTTGGAAGGCACTCAAAATACACGGTGTCCACAATAATGGACTGAAACATACCAACGATCATGAAGATGGAGCAAAACTGGGCCACATTTCATTCAGTTATTTATAAGGTCGCCATGAGTCAGAGCAGGCTCAATAGCAACGACTTAGTCTCAACCTTAATTCTGTCTTAGACAGTTTGCTTTTACTGAAATCTCTCTTATGACAATCTGACATCCAGTAGCAGATTTTATGCTGGCCAAAATCTCTTTCTATTAATTTCAGAGGCAGATGATTGACTGAGAAAATCCTACGGTGACAATGCCATTTAATTTGTGACCTTTTTTTAAAAAAAAAAAACCTGGTCACCCTGTTCACTGGTGCCCAAAACCAGTGTGGCTTGCTCAGCGCTTGGTAGGACCAAACTTCTTTCCACAAGCCCTTGGTTTTCAAATTGCTTTCATCCCTGAACCTTGCTGAGAAAAAACACACCCACACAGCCACAGATGATGAGAACCGTGTCTTTATTGGATGCTTTTTTTAAAGGCATTGTCTGCTGAGGGCCTTACAGAAGTCATCAGGGCATACCCACCACCAAAAAAGTCACCAATGGCTGTCTTATCACCTCACGCAAACAACAAGCCAATTGCAGACGCTTATCAGGGGAAATTGATAAATACATTAGGGTAGGGTGCGGGGGTGTGGGGATGGGTCCCATTCCTGGGGCTTTGGAGGTCTTCCAGCTGTCTGTCCTGTCCCTTTCTCTCTTTTCTGTGTCTCCATAGACTGGGGCCTTTAAGAATGCACCATTTCCTGGAATTCTAGAACAGAAGGGGTGAAAACACTCCGTGAAGGTGGCTCAGTACTTTAAAGACCTGCTGGGGCCAACCAGTGATAAGGAAGAGGAAAGGAGATGAAGCGACGTGTCAGATGACAGGCACGGCCCCCTTAGAGAACACAAAAGGAAGAAAAAGTGGGTGCCGGTGACAGGAGGTCAAGGCAATCAAAGTGTTTCATCTCTCTGCATAAGCTGTCTAATTTAACAGGCATCGTCAGCGTTGCAATAAAGCCCTTTGTACTAGAATTGTCTGCCTGGCTACTTCTCTCTGATCATGGATGACTTCAGTATGGTGGCCTAGCACAATCTGTGAGCATTAACTTTTTTGTCTGGTTGATTTAAAGCAGAGATGGGAGGTTTTCTTCCCCTTTTCTGTAGCTGCGTGTTGCATTTTTAGGAAACATTTAATAGGGTGCAACTTTGAACAGACTTTTCTCGTTTTTAAGAACAATATTGAACCCTAACCCTGCCCCCAAATGTTTATACAGCAAAACCCGTGTTAGCCAGGAAACCTGACAGAGAAGGAAAACTCAAATACAGGGAAGCCTGTGAGAGCCAGAACCCGAAGGGACTGCCTTGTTTTTCTGGTCCCTCAAGTTTTCCACCTTTGCCAGGGGGCAGCCTTACCACTTTATATTGCTCTTTCTTAGTGAGAAATATTTGAGTTTTCCTTCTCTGACAGATTTCAGCCTTACACAGGTTCTGGCCTCCACAGATTTGACTGTGATAATATGATGTGTGGATGCTACACATTGAAACTGAACACTAGAGATTGGCTTTATATTTGTCAGTAAACTTTGCCTTTTTGGAAGTCTTTTGTGGTAATGCGTAAATAAATCAATCCCCCTTACCTAAATGATTTCTCTGAGTTCTATCTATAGAAGCTGCATTATCTCCTGTCTAGTAAGTTATAAAACCCTGGTGGTGTAGTGGTTAAGAGCTACGGCTGCTAACCAAAGGGTCGGCAGTTCAAATCTACCAGGCGCTCCTTGGAAACTCTATGGGGCGGTTCTACTCTATCCTATAGGGTCCTTATGAGTCGAAATCGACTTGACGGCAACGGGTTTGGTTGTTTTTTTTCTTTTTAGTAAGTTATAGTGGTATAATTTTGAATACGTTTTTTGAAATAAAGGATTTAAAGTAGCAGTTTTTAATTTGAAATTAAGCACCACCAGAAGGACCACATGTCAGTTCCCCTGAATTAGCATGCACAAAGTAGCTAGAAAGCCCATCAGCAACACGACAAAGCCAAGCGAAAATAATCCTACAGCCATGTGATTGTGTTAAAGTCTGAGTTCACGGCTCCGCACACAGCAGGCTCCATACGTGGTGCCTGACTTATTTGCTCTCTATCTAATATTGTCCACTTGATGGGCTAATGTCCAATAAAAATTATTTGTTTAAACCCTTGGCAGCTAAGAGGCCTTCCTACTCAGGTTAATAGTCTTTGGTAGGTGACACACTTGAGAAAGTTAATCCTCCTCGTATTCAGACGGGCTCAATTCCTACTGGTGGAAATTCCTTGCATTATTTGCAAGGGGTCTCAGGGTGTCTTGCAGATAATTGGCCACCGGACTAGCTAGTTCCTTAGTCAGGTGAGGGACATTTTCGGTTCAGAGACAACAGCCAGAAAAACTAGCTTCTGTGGTACATCCCCGGGCATCATGCCAGAGTCTTTACATGCATTATTTGCAACCTCACCTTAGTCCCATTTTACAGGTAAGAAGACTGAGGCTCAGCACAGTTAAGAAAGGGGATTTTAACCCACATCTGTCTGATCTCACCGCCCAAGCCCCCACGGACAGTCCCTGACCATGTTTTATGCTATGTACAGGTGTGAGCATACCTTCAGCCCCAATTTTTCCGTCTCCATCATTATCTGCAGCAGCCATTAAGGACTTGGTTTCTGACTCGGTCAGTTCTCTAGCACCACTCTCAAACTTCTGGAGGAAAAACCTACAGGATAACAAAGATTGATGGGGATTTTCTGAAAAACTATGCATCTCTTGTGTACTCTTTCTTTTTTTAAGTAGATCATCTGTTTGCAATAATCATTCAAGGTCTTAGCAAGCAAAAGCTAGCAAGCAAAGGTAGAAACTTTCATTGTAGAAACCAATGATGGGCATTTTGTTTTGAAGAGTTGCTCACTTGCTTTTGATAAGTCCATTTGCCAATGAAAAACCTTCAAATGGAGGGTTCTGGGTTAGTATTTTGCATGGGTAGATGTGTGACCAGCAGACTCATGTTCTTTGCTTTGATGAGCTTTTACTGAGCGACTAGCATCAAGCCTGGCCGTTGAAGAAATACTAAGAAAGCTGGCCTCCGCTGCCCCCTGCCCACATGCCAGACAGGCTAACGACCAGGCTTACTTAAGCTCTTCTTCATCCAGGTATCCACTCTGGTCGTTGTCTATGAACCGGAAAACGTCCTTCACCTGGTTTGCTGACATCTTAGAGAGGCCTGAAGTCTGGAAGAATTTTTGGGGTTCAAAAGTATCTGGGTCTGAAGAACAGAGAATAGGTTATTCTGAAGCTCATTGGATTGAAGCTCATTTGGACCAAGATGCTGAAAACACAGGCTATTAAAAATACTTATCGTAATAGCCCTGAGCTACAGAGATACCCTATTTCATTTCTTTTTTAAGGGACAAAGAAGGGCTGTTACTGGTCCAGATTTTGAGTCAACCGGGACCAAATGGCTCTGTGACAACCCCTGGCTGCTCTACAGTTGATTTGGTCCATTTCCTGTTCTCTCTCCTCCATGCCCATCTCCTGCCCACTGTGGATCCAAGATCCCAACATCACTGGTCTGACTGGCGGCAAAAAAAAAAAAAATGCAATCGCTGGATTCAACGAGGCAAAATGACATTTACTGATGTCTTTTTTCACTTTTAATACGGTTCTTTAGCCTTACAAAAGAGCCCTGGTCGCTGCTAACCAAAAGGTCCACAGTCTGCTTCGGTAAAGATTACAGCCTTGAAAACCTTATTGGGCAGTTCTGCTCTGTCCCATAGGGTTGCTATGAGTTAGAATTGACTCGATAGTAACAATTACAGAAATGTAATCACATGCGTGGTCTCATGTCCTTATAATTTCATCATCTTATTAATAACAGTGTTATTCTCTGGTTTTGTGAATTTTCAGCAGAGTTCACATTTTCATTTCTGTTGCTTCACCAAAGGTGTGAACAGGTGAGAAAAGTCTATACCTGCCTCTTGGGCTCACATCCCCCTTTACCTTGGCACTCCTGCAGGGCTGCTGCAATGTCATCAGCGCTGAGAACGTCTGTGATGCTCATTGTCCACCTATTCACCGAATCAATGAGATGTGGTCAACAGTAAGCGTGGGCATGCACATCCAGGGGGACACACCCTCCTGGGGCCCACGGAAACCATTTATGTATTTATCTAGAATTTTAAAAAAGCAGCAAGCGTGGCGTTGTGTTAGTGACAGAATAGAATATACAAATTAAAAGCCCAATATGGAAGAGATCCCAGTACCCTCTCTTGAATACACTCCAAAGCAGAAATAAAAAAATGTAACCTACACAGCTATTCAATTCAGTTTTCCTGTAAGAATATTATATTATCAGTCACTTACAGAGTCATCTACAAACCATTCAGAAGTAAACCATGTGACAAATGCAATTGCATTTTCATACACCAGCCAGCCAAACACACGGGAAAGGGTAGATAGAGTTCAGGCTGTTGCAGACTTTCTGTGAAAGAGATGCTATCTTCTATCTGTCCTGAAGGATGGGAAGCCAATGAATGAAAAGCCAAGCTACCAGAGATCAAAATCCTTCCAGGTGTCAACTCCACCGGGAAAGAGAAATCAGAGCACAGCATGCACAAACCTAGTGTGAATGCGTGTAGGGAAAAGAGCCTGGGGTCTGGGAGGCGCACTAGCTACTCACCTTTTTAGATTACTCCCCAAGAAGAATCAGGAAAAAGCGTTGAAGAAGCAAAAAATAAATAAAAATTAAAAAAACAAGTGTTTTTGCCGCGTTGCTGACCTACCTTATATAGGATTGAAAAAGCGATCGTAACAACCTCTTAGATTTCCTTTTCAAGGATCAAGTGGACATAGCTCGAATGTCTTGTCTTACTAATTAAACCTCTTTTTTTTTTTCTATTTATATCTCGAGGGAATGTGGGTGGGAACAGCCAATTTTAAAAAAAACAAACCTCAATAAACCCTAACTAAGGTTTCAGTTCTGCAAATGAACACTGTTGGCTAAGTGTGGGGAAGAGACTGAAGTCCCAGTAAAGAGAAGGCAGTGGCTGAAATGAGATGAACACATATGGGGGTGCTCGCCAGGTGTCTGTGGCTGCCACTTGAGGCAAGTCTGTTTTCAGCCTCTGAAACTGTGGACATGTGAGGCTGACCTCAATCCAGAAATGAAGTCTTTGTCACTAGATGGATACACAGCACTTGTTTGGCAAAAGAAATGTGACTGTTGAGGTGATTTTCCTACAAAAGGCGTGACTTAGGCATTTTCCAGCTATCTCTTAAATGTCACACACTAAAAAATACAAAAGGAGGAAAGTGACCCGCTATTCCCAACCCCAAAGCTGAAATTTGCAGAAAAAAATGTTATGAGGCCAGGACTTGAGACCTCAAGTTTTTTAAAAAGTACAAGCACAGATCCCATGTTGCAATTAGAAACATACAGTGGCTTACCCAAAAACCCGTTGCCGTTGAGTCGATTCCAACTCATAGCAACCCTACAGGACAGAGTAGAACTACCCCATAGGGTTTCCAAGGAGCGGCTGGCGGATTCAAACTGCTGACCTTTTGGTTAGCAGCCGAGCTCCTAACCACTGAGCCAGCAGGGTTCCAACCTTTTGGTTAACGGCCAAATGCTTAACCATTGCGCCGCCAGGACTCCTACAGTGGCTTACAAGCAGACAACTTAAGAGATCTAGAGAGGGGCCTCGGACTCGTCTCTGTGGAATACAATCTGGGTGGCCATCTTTTCAATTGCCTCATATGCATGCGAAAGTGGGATAATGAAAAAGGAACACAGATGAAGAACTAATGTGTTTGAACTGTGGTGTTGGCAAAGAATACTGAATACACCGTGGACTGTGCCAAAAGAGCAAACAAAGTCTTAGAAAAACAACCAGAATGCTGCTTAGAAGCAAGGACGGCGAGACTTCAACTTGCTTACTTTGGACACATCATCAGAAAAGACCAATTGCTAGAAAAGGACATGATGTTTGGTAAAGTAGAAGGTCAGCAAAGACAAGCGAAGCCCTCAATGGGATGGACTGACACAATAGTCGAAACAATGGGCTCACACGTGTCAAGGATCATGAACATGGCGCACGGCAACATTTTATTCTGTTATATATAAGGTCACTAGGAGTCGGAACCAACTTGACAGCAGCTAGCAACAACAACAACCCCAAGCCCAGCGTTGTACTCTTCCTAGTGCCAGCAACAAAAAATTTCTCTCTCAGGAACACCTACAACATGTCTTAAATTACTGAACCTCAAGCCAATGTCATTTCTGTCTTGTCAGGGTCACTTGCCATCGAGTCGATTGTGACTCCTGGCACTTCCACGTGGATCAGAGTAGAACTGTGCTCCAAAGGCTTTCTAACAGCTGATTTTTCAGAAGTAGATCACCAGGCCTTTCCTCTACACCTCAGTGCCTTGCACAGTGTCTGACCTCAAGTGACGTGCTCGGTAATTATCTCATGAACAAATAAATCAATATAGCAAAAATAAAGCTTGAAAACTCTATTCCAGACCAACATGTACTTGCCCATCCCTTAAAAAGGAGTTTCTCAAAATAAATTTCAAGAGTTCCGAATTAGGTTTCTGACATTAAGTTGCCATAGAAACTAGCTGAAGCCCTTGCTTTCCATGGAAGGGTTTACAATTGCCTGCAGAAATAAAATCTGTCCATTTAAATGAAAATTGCACAAGAGACTTTAGATTTTCATGATGTTTTCTGAGAGAAAATAAAGACAATAGAGACCCAATAAATGTGTCATCTGAATCAACAAGGCAACTCAAGGTTTTGCCTCAAATTCCATCACGTGCAATGTTGATTCAGGTGTTCTTTGTTGTCGTCAAGTTGATTCCAACACATGGCCACCACATGTGTTACAGAGTAGAACTGCTCCATAGGGTTTTCTTGGCCGTAATCTTAATGGAAGCAGATGGCCAGGCCTTCTCTTCCATGGAGCAGCTGGGTGGGTTTGAACCACCAACCTTTATGTTAGCAGTCTCCTACAGACCATTTGTGCCACCCAGGGAACTTAGTTTCCGTTATTTTAGCTACTAATTAATGGCTGTTCCAGGAAGAGAGGGGAAAGACTTGAAAGTAGAAAATCTTACTTAGAGGCCAGTTCTGTTCTTTACTCAAAGGAGCCCTGGTGGTGCAGTGGTTAAGCATTTGGCTCGTAACCGAAAGGTAGGCAGTTCGTACTCACCAACGGTTTCACCAGAGAAAGATGTGGCAGTCTGCTCCCGTACAGATTTACAGCCTTGGAAATTATGGGGCAGTTTTACTCTGTCCTATAGGGTCTCTATGAGTCCAAATCGACTTGACAGCAATGGGTTTTTTTTTTTTTTTTTTCTGTTCTTTACTAGCTGTGTGGTGCTGGGCCTCAGTTTCCGCTTCTAGAAATTAAAAAAAAAAAAATTGCCTGTCAAGTCAATTCCAACTCATAATGACCCTATAGGACAGAGTAGAACGGCCCTGTAGGGTTTCCAAGGAGCAGCTGGTAGATTCGAACCGCCAACCTTTTGGTTAGCAACCAAATACTTAACCACTGCACCACCAGCGCCCCTCTGTGCCACCAGGGCCCCTCTAGAAATTAAGGACAATACAAAAGCCTGTTCTGTCAACTACCCAGGGTTCTTTAGAGGCTCAAGTGCAGTGCTCTATAAACATTTGGAGAGGTTTCAGAGTCTCCTGTTGAATTCTGCAAGAGGATTTCATCTCATGTATCAGTTCCAATCGATTGGTAGGAACTTCCTAGGGTGTTACATTAAGAACAATTCTGGGAGGCAAGGCCAAGATGGCAGAGTAGTCAGACGCTTCCTGTGGTCCCTGTTACAACAAAGACCTGAAAAAACAAGTGAATTGATTATATACGACAATCTAAGAGTCCTGAACATCAAAGACGAGGTTGTGGAGTCCAACTGAGTAGCAGAGGGAGGGAGAGACAGTTCAGAAGCAGCGAGAATTTTCCAGACCCAACCTGGCTGGGACCCTGCAGGCTGGATCAGCTGGCACACATGAGCTTAGGCAAGCAGTAGCTCTCAGGACGTGTTTTCCACACGAGGAGAAACTGAGCAGTGGAGAGTCTGCACAAGCCCGTGGAACCAGGGGAAAGCAGCACTAGATCTACGAAAGTTAAGTGCCAGCGTCTAACCTACCACACAGGATCAAAAAAACACATTCCCCTCTGGGAAGTACCCGTCTCTCATTCACCTGCCCCCTCCTCTCTCTGCTCTGGTCCTAGGCTGGCTTCAGCGATTGCTGCACCCCCCTGGGCTGGGAGAGGGTCCCATCCTGCTCCCGAGCCATTATCCCCACTTTGGAGAGGGAACAAATTAACAAATAACAAACAGGAAAAAATAATCTGCCAGCTCTCCTAAGCTGAGACCTCAGGGCAGGCACAGCCACTTTGCCTAGGCACAGGCATAAGGGGTCCACAGACTTTGAATGCCTTTCACCCCTGCCTAGACTTGTGTGGGCCCATTTCAACAGCGTAGACCCTCATTAGCATAGTACAACAGGGTATATACCTGAAGCCTATTTTCAACCGCAACAGCTAAGGGGGAGTGGCAGAATCATGACATTTGACACCACGCTGCCCGTTAAGTAGGATCCTCACCTACCCACATCAGAGACCTGAGGACTGGTGACTCTACTCACTCTGTCAAGCCACCCACAACCGGAGTCCAAGAATAAGTGTTGCCTCCCAGTCCTTACAGCCAACAGCATTGGGTACCCAAGGTCCGGCTACAAAATCCACCCACCTATGAGCTCTAGGGAACAGGGACATGCCTTCCACCCAGGCACTTGAGGCAGCAATCAGACCCCTACTTTGCTCAGCACATAACTCTCTACTGCAGCCAGATAACTATGCCTGCTCCAAACACCCCTATGTAGGCCCACCAGTCTAGAACTGTAGGTGAGAACCTGCACCACACACTTGGTGACTGATGGCACCTGAGCTGAATCCACACAGGAAAAGTAAATGGACTCCTGGGCTCGCATACCTAGTAGAAGCTCTAACCACCTGGTGACAGAAAGTGAAAGCTTCAAAGATACCAATAA